ATTTCATTTATGGGCACCGAAACTGAATTCCCTGTAGTTTTCACCTGTCATGAACGACTACTCCTGTCAGTTTCCAGCTGTGTTAAACACGCACAAACCACCTGCAGCCCCGCGGGCCATAGGCTGTGCACACACAGGCAGGAGGCTGGTTTGTGCTGTTCTCTTGGCTCAGGACTCGTCCAAAGCTTGGATCTGAAGTGAACTGCCGACCAACCGACCACTTTGAGCTTCAAGTTTCTTAGTTGAAAATGGAGATGATGCCTTATTTCAAACTTTTTTGGAGGGCCTAAATAATTTGTATTTTAAACACTTTACACAGCCCCTGACACATGATACAAATTAAGGTTAACGGTTATTGTTGACCATGGTGCTACCACTGTGGGACCCATAAAAAATCACTTACTTGACCTGTGGGTTTCTTCAGCAGCAAAACAGAGACCCCTGCTACTCTCCCGACCCCGCAGGACCGGTGTGACCTCGCTCGCCCTGTGCGGGTCACCCGTCCTGTCAGAGCTGGACTGAGTCCTGAAAACCGCGCTCCTGCTCTAAGTTCTTCGAGGCTTCGCACTGACCCAGAGTGGTGGGAATGGCGTGGTCTGGGCCTGCCTTCTCTCCTGACACTGTTCCACGGGCTTCAGGGCACAAGTCTGCCCTGTGTGCGGCACTCACGAGTGTAGCCACCATCTATCCCCACATGGTGCTCCCACCATGTCATGGACTCTGGTCCTTGTGCTGTGCCTTCTAGTCCTGTGACTTACTCATTCCGTAACCTGTCCATTTCCCTACCCCTGCCCCCCAGCAACCCTCCCTTTGCTCTCTGTATTTTTTGGCTCTGTGTCTGGTTTTTGTCTATTTGTGTCTTTTGTTCGATTCCACATCTAAGTGAAACCATATGGCATCTGTCTTTCTCTGACTTAAATTAGCATTATACCCTCTAGGTCCATCCATGTGGTCACAAATGGCAAAAGCTCGTCCTTTTTCATGGCTGAGTAATAGACCATCTACAGAGAGACGACATCTGCTCTATTCATGCGTCTCTTGATAAGCACTGGGTTGCATGCACATCTTGGCTACTGTAAATCATGCTGCTCTAAACACCGGGGTGCATGTGTATTTTTCAAATTGGTGTTTTCATTTTCTCTGGGTAAACACCCGGTAGTGCAATGACTGGATCCCCGGGTAGTTCTGTATTTTTAATTTCTGAGGAGCGTCCACACTGCGTCCAGGGTGGTGGCTGCACCAGTGGACAGCCCCCCCAGCGGAGCATGACACTTTCTCTCCACGTCCTCACCGACACTTGCTGTTGCTTGGGTGGTTGATTTTAGCCATTCTGTCAGGTGTGAGGTGATATCTCATTGTGGTTATGATTTGCATTTCCTTGATGAAATGTGACGGATTTCTGTACATTGATTTTGTATCCTGTGACTTTACTGAATTCGTGCATCAGCTCTAGTAGTTTTTCGGGTTTCCTATACATAGCATCATGCCATAACCTGCAAACAGTGAGAGTTCGACTTCCTCCTTGCTGATTTGGATGCCTTCTCTTTCCTTCTGTTGTCTGACTGCTGACGCTGGGACTTCCAGTACTATGTTGAATAAAAGTGGTCAGAGTGGCCATCCCTGTCTTGCTCCTGACCTTAGAGGGAAAGCTCTGTTTCTCCCTAGCGAGGATAATGTTTGCTGTGGGTTTTCGACATAAGGCCTTTATTATGTTGAGTTTGTTCCCTCTAAACCTACTTTGTTGAGGGATTTTATCATGAATGGATGTTGTACTTCTCCATCTACTGAAATTTTTTTTTTAATTCTTTCTCATTGATGTGATGTATCACATTGATTGATTTGCAAATATTGAACCACCCTTGCAGCCCAAAGAATAAATCCCACTTGATTGTGGTAAATGATTTTTTTAATGTATTGTAGGATTCGGTTTGATAATATTTTGTTAAGGACTTTTGCATCTATAGTCATGAGAGGTATCGGCCTGTAGTTCTCTTTTTTGTGGTATCTTCGTCTGGCTTTGGTATCTGGGTGATACTGGCCTCATAGACTGAACTGGGATGTCTTCCCAGCTCTTCTTTAAATGTTTCATGGAATTCACCTTTGAAGCTGCCTGGCCCTGGACTCTTGTTTGTTGGGAGTTTTCTGATGACTGATTCCATTTCGTTGCTGGTCACCAGTCTGCTCAAATGTTCTATTTCTTCCTGCTTCAGTTTTGGTAGTTCATGTGTTTCTAGCAATTTATCCATTTCTTCCAGGTTGCCCAATTTCTTGGTGTGTAATTTTTCACAATATTTTCTTACAATTGTATTTTTTTTGTGGTGTTATTTCTCCTCTGTCCTTTGTGATTTTGTTATTTTGCATCTTCTGTATCTCCCTCTCTTTTTATGACTCTGGCTAGAGATTAATATTTGGTTAATCCTTTCTAAGAACCATCTTTTGGTTTCACTCATCTGTTCTATTGTTTTTTTTTTTAGTTTCTGTATCATTTATTTCTGCTCTAATTTTTATTATTTCCTTCCTTCTCCTGGTTTTGGATTTTGTTTGTTCTCTTTCTAGCTCCTTTACGTGCAAAGTAGGTTATTTGAAATTTCTCTTGTTTCTTGAGGTAGACGGCATGGGCATCTATTTCCATCATAGAACTGCTTTTCCTGCATTCCAAAGAATTTGGACCACTGTGCTTTCTTTTTCAAATTGTTATTACCTTAACTGTGGTGTAGTTAATGTACAGTGTCAGTTTCAGGTGTCCAACAGCGTTCAACACTTCTGTACAGGACCCAGTGCTCGTCATGGCGAGTGGACTCTGGACCACCATTTTCACTTTCATAAATCACCATCTGTTTTTTTTTTTTTTTAAGATTTTATTTCTTTATTTGAGAGAGAGAGAATGAGAGAGAAAGCATATGAGAGGGGGGAGGGTCAGAGGGAGAAGCAGACTCCCCGCCGAGCAGGGAGCCCGATGCGGGACTCGATCCAGGGACTCCAGGATCATGACCTGAGCCGAAGGCAGTCACTCAACCAACTGAGCCACCCAGGTGCCCTATCACTATCTGTTTTTTAATTTCCTCTCTGATTTCTTCAGTGACCCACTGTTTAGTAGCATGTTGTTTAGCTTCCATGTATGTGTTTTCCAGTTTTTTTTCTGTGATTGATAGAGTTTCTTACTTTTGTGGTCTGAAAAGTTACCTAAAAAAAGATTTCACTCTTCTTCAATTTATGGTGACTTGTTTTGCGGCCGAACATGTGAGCTGTCATGGACAGTATTCTAAGCACACTAGAGAAGTATGTGTACCCTGCTGTTTCCGTATGCAGTGTGATGGATGTGTCTCTGTGCTGGATCGAGCCCCACATCGAGCTCCCTGCTCAGCGGGAAGCCTGCTTCTCCCTCTCCCACGCCCCCTGCTTGTGTTCCTTCTCTCGCTGTCTCTCTGTCAATAACTAAATAAAATTTTTATTTAAAAAAAAAGCAGAGAAACTTAGGTATTTTTTTAGTTTTGGTGCAGTTATAAATGGAAGTTTTTCCTAAGAAAAAACTTAACCAAGGAGGTGAAATAAAAACTATAGCACTCTGATGAAAGAAATTCAAGACAACACAAACAAATGTAAAGACATACCAGACTCATGGATTCGAAAAGTTAATATTGTTAAAATGTCCACGGTATTCAAAGCAATCTGCAGATTCAATGCAATCCCTATCGAAATACCATAGCATTTTTCACAGAACGGTAACAATCCTAAAAGTTGTATGGACCCACAAAAGGCCCTAAAATAGCGAAAACAATCTTGAGAAAGAACAACAAAGCTGTAGGTATCACAATCCCAGATTTCAAGATAAACTGCAAAGCTGGAGTAATCAGAACAGTATGACACCTAGATCAAGAGAACAGAAAAGAAAGCCCAGAAATAAACCCACGCTCATATGGTCAATTAATCCATGAAAAAGGATACAGGAATACACAAGTAAAAAATGATAATCTTTTCAATAAATGGTGCTGGGAAAACTGAACCACTACCTGCAGAAGAATGAAACTGGACCACTTTCTTACACCATACACAAAAATAAATTTAAAATGGACTAAAGACTTAAATGTGAGACCTGATACCATATAACTCCTGGAAGCAAACACAGGCAGTAAGATCTTTGTTATGGGCCTTAGCAACATATTTTTAGATATATCTCCTAGGGCAAGGGAAACAAACGCAAAAATAAACTATTGGGACAACACCAAAATTAAAAGCTTCTGCACAGCAAAGGAAACCATCAACAAAACAAAAAGGCGATCTACTGAATGAAAGAAGATATTTGCAATGATATATCTGAAAAGGGACTAATATCCAAAATATACAAAGGAATTCTATAAATGAACACCCCAAAAACAAATAATCTGATTAAAAAATAGAGGATCTGAGTAGACATTTTTCCAAGAAAACATACGGATGGAAACAGACACATGAAAAGATGCTCAACATCACTAACATCAAAGAAATTCATATCAAAGAATCACAACGAGACATCGCCTGACACCTGTCAGAACGGCTAGAATCAAAAAGACAAGAAATAACAAGTGTTGGTGCAGATGCGGAGAAAAAGGAACGTTCGTGCACTATCACTGGGAATGCAAATGGGTGCAGCTGCTGTGGAAAACAGTAACAAGAACTACCCTAACTATTTCCTAGTTCCACTACTGCGTATTTACCCAAGAAAAATAAAAACACTAATTTGAAAAGACACATGCATCCCCTTGTTTACTGCGGCCTTCTTTACAACAGCCAAGAGGACGCAGCCCCTGATATGGGTGCATACATGTACAGTAGAAAGCAGACCCCTAAGTACAGAAAACAATCTGGGGGTGGCCAGAGGGGAGGGGGCCGGGGTGGGCCAAGTGGGTGAGGGGAGTGGGAGGCACAGCCCAGGGAATACGGTCAACGGTACCGCGACGGTGCTGTGTGGGAACAGACGGTGGCTCCGCTCGTGGTGAGCACAGCACCGCTGTGGTGTTCACCTGAGACTCATGGACACTGTGTCAGCACACGCATCCCTTCTTCATCTGCCTCTTCCCAGTGCAGTGACACAGTCTGGCAGAAATCAGAGGTGCATTAACCCGTCGACTCGGCCCATGTCTGCATGGCTAACTAGCAAAATAAAGGAACATACTACACAATAATCTGTATTATCATTAAAGGCTTTTTTTTCTTAGCAGGATATACATTACTCAGAAATTAAAAACTATAATGCTATTCTTCCCATAACAAAATATTTTAAAATGCCCCATACATTTTATTTTATTTTTTAATTAATATTTTTTTTTATTCATGAGAGTGAGAGAGAGAGAGAGGCAGAGGCAGAGGCAGAGGGAGAAGCAGGCTCCCCGCCTAGCAGGGAGCCCGATGCGGGACTCGATCCCAGGATCCTGGGATCCTGACCTGAGCCGAAGGCAGACGCTCAACCATCTGAGCCACCCAGGCGCCCGCCCCATGCATTTTAAAAATCATAAAGGACACAATATTTTGACTCTAAATTTGTTCAAATGCAGGTGAGATTAGAAAGTAAACAAAATGCCGAGGCCCAAGACTATCTTATCCCAAAGGCGGCACTGCATTACCTGGGGAATCCAGCCCACACAGCAAGGGAGAACGGGCGACACACTGGGAGAATCGTGGTGATTTTCCGAGAGCCGGCTTCCATCAAAACTGCAGCCTTCCAGTAACAAGCCACCCATCTGTCATGGAAACAAGCAAACCTGTGAAATCCACATCCAGTCCGAAACGTCAGGAGTTACTGTGTGTTAGCATACGATGCAAGGCAACAGACTAGGTACGCAAAGTATTCTGAAAACAAAGATGGTATTTAACCTGAGAATAAAGAAGGTGAAGACCTGGGCCAGTGTTCACAGGACTTCCTTATGTCTGGATCTATTTATTTAGCAGACAGTTTGGAAAGAAATGCTTACAATGTATTTAGTTACAACTGCAGGTATGTTGGTATTAGATTAATAGAAATATAATGGAAAATGCCCCAAAGTTAAGTCTTTCTCCAACAGGGTGAAAGAAAAGCATAATTAAAGAAGACTGTGTGCTCCCTGCTTGGGGTTCCGACATCATTTTCTAAAGAAAAGAACAAAGCTCAGAAAGTTGAATGCAAAACATCTATGACATGCCGTGCAGAGCTGAAAGAATAATAAAGAGTTAATCTCTTTCTCTAGATTAACAGTGTACATTTAGGGAATTATGAAAATAAAAATATAACTATTTTGATAATATTAGTTTCATATTTCTTCCTTAAAAGCGTTCACTCTTTTAGTTTCTGCACTGCTGATCTACCCTGAGTTTATTTAAAGTCAACAAAGGTCAAGTCAGTACTTTGTATTCAGAGCCACATGTACAGTCTCTTAATGTGGACTTGATAGAAAATACAGAACAATCTCTTCTTTTTAAAGGTTTTACTTATTTTAGAGAGAGAGCACCCGAGCAGGGAAGGGGCAACGGGAGAATCTCAAGCAGATTCCTCGTTGAGTGTGGAGCCCGATGTGGGGCTCAACCCCAGGACCCCGAAGATCATGACCTGAGCCGAAACCAAGAGTCAGACACTTAACTGCCCGAGCCATCCAGCGCCCCAATACAGAACAATCTTATAAATATTACCTAGTACCTTTAGGTTTTATCAAATGCTAAATGAAAGTGCTATAGAATTTAGTCAAGAGAACACTTTATGTTGGAAGACTCACTAGAATTTAGCTGAGAATGGGTTTTAGGGAGTGCTGTAGGTCTGAGGAGGTAATAGTAGAGTATGCCTTGACAATTTTGAATAGCTAATTTTACAGTAAGATTGCTGTACCATAGAAAAGACAGGTAACTTGTCAGTGAGAGAGCTGGTATAAAAACAGAATTACTGAATACCTAAGTTCAATATTTTTTCTACTACAGCACAGACGTGATGATATTCGGGCCACTTTAAGAATTGATAAAGCATGGTAGCCCTGAAAAAATGTTAAAATTTAGAGAGTACCTGCTAATTTCAGTGGTAGAATCTCTCTAGGTAAGACATTTTAAGGCCTCTTCTAGAAATTTCATCAAGTTTCAAGCTGAAGTCGTCCGCCTGGAAATTCGTAAACACAGTTCTTGCTGAAAGTACCACAGGAGGGAACTGAGACACAAACGCATTGTTGTTCCCTTCTAACAAGGAGGGGTGCTGAGAAACCGTATTTCCTGGAGCCCTGTTTCAGTAGTTGGCACATCTAGAGCCTGACAGACATCTGGGCTCCCCCAGCCTCCCCTGGGCCATCAAACTGCCCACTCCTGCCACTTCTAAGAGACACCTTCCAAATCTCTCCTTTTCTCTCGGCACCCTCTAGGACTATCCTATCATGAAATTTAAAGGCCATCGGTGGAATTTAAAGACCTCATCATTCCTGAGAGTGACACTACAACATAAGAATGTCCAACGTAAGAATGTAAAAAAGTAATACCCTATCATCTATATAATAAAACGGTAACATATCAGGGATTGGAATGGTTTCAACAAAGGTTACCCTTGTTTCAACTGTAGCTTCTTTAAAGGAAGGAATGAAAGAAGACAGGCCCAAAACATTTCCTTTATTGCTGAAACACAGCTTGGAGGATCTAATGAGTCTCCAGGCAAATGGATTTCCTAATGTGAAAATCAAGAATCGAGCAGGCTTCACTTCTACTTATACGAGCACTGAGCTAAGCACCCAGCCACAGAGACTGCCCAAGAGGAGCAGAGCAGAATGTTATCCCCAAGAGAAAAGCCTAAGGAAGACACAGGACTCCATCAGGTCCCACGGGAAGCGCAGCATGCCGGAATGTTAGGGGACCGCGCGTTCTCAGCATCCCGGGCACTGCAGGAAACAAGCGGATTCGGCCAGGCAGAGGACTTGTCGTTTTGCCTTCCGTGTGTGGTGGCCTCGCACTAAACGGGACGGCGAGGGGCTCCGGAGCTCCTGGCGAGACCTGAGTGGCGAGCGCATCGGGAGCCTGACGCAAGCATGTCCCAGCACCCCACTTCACAAGGGCTGCTGAACAAACAGACGAGTGATGGCAGGGAGGACACTGTAGAGGGCCACGGTTCAGGACCTGGAAATCAATATACACACGCGTTCTCTTCAGTAGGTCTGGAGGGTCTGAGATACTGATTGCTTTGGGAACTACAGCCTTGCTTGAACACGTCAGCGGCTGAATTCAGTCTAAGGTAGTAGAGCTTGAAAGAGAAATGATGAAAAATACATACCTTCCCGCACATGTATGTTTTCAGAGAGCCTTACAATAAATGTCTGAGGAAAGTTATTATTTAAATCCATTGATAAAGGAGACAACAAGGACTCAGATTACTCCATGAATTGCTTAAAGACACATGGTTATTTTTTGGAGAACTAAGATTAGAATATTGTTTTACTAACTGTTGGCCTTTTCTCCCCAATCTACAAAACGTAACATAGAAGCTTGGGGTTTTCTGGTTGTTGATCATTTTATTCCCATTTTGTAAGAACAGAGGCAACATAGTTCCAGAAATATTAACACACTTTGACTCAGAATGTAACTCATTTCCCTTGCTGTTTGTACCACTGTAGATCTGAAGAATGATGTCACATTCCATCTGTGGGGCTCACAGCTGCCAGAGACCACCCAACCTGGTCAAGGGCATGGCTCCTGGATGATATGTGTCCTCTTCCTTTCCTTAACAGCTGGGCAAGAGTGTATGACAGAGAAGGTAGTTCTTACAGGTTAGAGGCTCAGGTTAAAATAAAATGCCATGGGATGAAAGAAAATCCTTCTGATTCCTTCAGCTTCAGGGGAGAATTTTATAGCTATCTATAGAGAGCCAAAAGAGAAAAATCCAGCTTGTCGTTAATGAACATATTTCTGGCATACGAGAACACCATTACTGACGTGACAAGCCTACCACGGTGCCTCTCCTGTTGTAGGCCCAAACTCAACAACCCAACAAGCGCTTGAGTGAGCACCCACTATGTAATTATCGTTTGATGTATTTGGGATACAATGAAACCATGAAAAAAATGACTACTCTCATGGGACTTACACTCCAGTGGATTAAGACAGACAACAAATAAACATAATAAATAAACTATGTAGTAAGTCATAAAGCAGTAGTGAAATGAAGATTGTTAAACTGGGAACTACAACTATGTACACAGAACTTCTGAAAAGCCAGTTGCCCACGGTTACGTAAGTTGAAGAACTGTAGTCTCACATTTATGTAAAGACTGAATTGCATGTGATGCCCTGGAAGAGATGGTGGGGATTTAAGATGGGGAGCACTGCCCTCTCCTCAGACCAACCACGGGCCAGGCAGAGTAGCCCAGTACCATACTGTGCTGGGTCACAGCAGGCAGAAGGCGGAGGGCGGTCCCCATGTGCAAATGGGAAACAAGAATGGCTGGAACGCGCTGGGCTGCGCAGGAAGGCTGGCATCACTGGGGACAGGTGTCCACAGCAGACTGTGACCTGGTTTTCTTATTAACAGGCACATGATTACCTACCGTTATTTATTATTATAAAAGTAATGGATTTTTAGTAGGAAAGCTACCAGAGAAAATCTATGCTGCAAAAGATGGCTTGACTCTTTTTCTTTTTAAACACATACGGCTTCAGGGCACCTGGGGGCTCAGTCAGGTAAGCATCTGCCTTCAGCTCAGGTCATGATCCCGGGGTGCTGGGATCAAGCCTCATGTCGGGCTCCCTGCTCAGCAGGGAGCCTGCCTCTCCCTCTCCCACTCCCCCTGCTTGTGTTCCCTCTTTTGCTATCTCTCTGTCAAATAAATAAAATCTTTAAAAAAAAAAACCAATGCAGACGGCTTGAGTTTAACACCAAACTGTTACAACACACAAACTGTAAACTCCCTGAGGACAAGACTTGGTCTATTTTTCATAAACCATACATGCTTTATTGTATAGTTAATATTTACTGAATTGAGTTTTAGAGCAGGAAACCTAAATGAACTTCAAGATTTGTATCATTTTTTTTTTACCAAAAGTTACATTTTTAAATATGTTGTGTCCCTAACATTCTTATTTTTGCATTAGAAAGGATTTTGTTTTGTCCAAGTTGCTTCATCCTAAATCTTCACTTTGACTTTTCACATTGGAAATACAATCTATTTCTGCTGATCTTATACTAAAAAGATAAGCGACTCTGAGATTGGGGTTTCAGAGTCTTTATCAGAGTTGGTAATATTATTATTTTTAGACTTAGATAAGCATCAAAAATTACTATACTACCTTAATCTGCAGCTTTGCTTCTTGCAGCCGACCTTTCCACGAGGCTACAAACTTAAGGCTATCCACAGAACAGCCCATCGCCCTGTAACAGTAAAGCAAAAAGAAGGAATCCTCAGGAATTAAAATACAGACAGTAACGGCAGACATATTCCTATTTGTTTACAATTGAAATATTTACAATGTGCAAGTAAAGCAGATTTCTTAAACAATGCACAGTATCTTAGATCTCACACCAAATCTGTAAAGTTAACTGGTTATGCAATCTCCTGTTCCTTAAGCATGCATGGCCTTGAGGTTTCATTTTCAAGGTCTCCGATCGGACCATCACATGATAAGTGTACCATAAATGCACACTTATTAGTTGAACTGAAACACTGATACTTATAAAACAATCCTCAGGCACTACACATTGAACCCCCTAAATCAACACAAAACTAAACTTGGTTCAGTTTCTTTTTCCAAGTATCTTTTATTACATTCTGATTTATTTAAAAAACCAGTCTGGGGCGCCTGGGTGACTCAGTCGTTAAGCATCTGCCTTTGGCTCAGGTCATGATCCCAGCATCCTGGGATGGAGCCCTGCACTGGGCTCCCTGCTCCACGGGAAGCCTGCTTCTCCCACTCCCCCTGCTTGTGTTCCCTCTCTCACTGTGTCTCTGTCAAATAAATAAATAAAATCTTAAAAAAAAAAAAAAAACAAAAAAACAGTCTACATGATACAATTATCCAAGTGTGTTATAAAAAAAAGAGCTTGATCATAACTATCAAATCCTGCTCCCCACCAGGAAGCCTGGTCAGCATGTCCAACAGAAGTGTCTGCAAAAATAAAAATGCTTTTGTGCAGTACCAAGTGGTCGCCATGGGGTGACTCGATGTGGTTGGTGTGACTGAGAAATTTCATGCTTACTTTTATTTCACATTGCCTCCTTTAACTACACATAGCTCCATCCCACCTCCACTCACACTGTCAGACACGGCATATCCAGATCAATCATCACGTTTTAAAAAGTAAATTTCACCTTTTTCAATTCTAATAAAAACATCATAATTATAAGCAATGCTTTTTAAACTGAAAGTTCACTGTGTTAAGAAATGCCAACAATAAGTTTCTTTCTTGACAACGAAGGGAATGTGATCCAAAGTGCAGGAAGCAGATGGACAAACCCGTCAAGAGTTCACCTTGCTCACCTTGCCGTTTCCTGGCGAAGGGCGTTGAGAAACGTGTCTGGGTGGAAGAGTTCTGACAGGTCAAGTGTATCAGAGAGAAGAGCCTGCTTCTCAGCTCTCTCTACCCAGCTCTAGAGTGGAAAAAATAAGACACACACCCATTTAAAAACTTTGTAAGCTTGAAAGACAAATCTTTTAAAGAACTCTTATGTAAAAATCATGTTCAATGAGAGCAATTTCTAATTGCTCTGAAATAGTGTCTGGAAAAAAAAAGATTTCTACTTTACATCGTGTGAGGTCTATTATTTTTTTTTTTGACATAACATCCATCCATCATAAAAATAAGCTTCCTTGCACAACCTTTTGCTGGTAAAAATCTACTCCAAATAAAAAGTCTAAATAAAATATGACAATTAATCTAACATATAGCATTTCCACGGGGGCTGGCACTTCTCATGATGAGCTACTGCTCCAAGTGTGCTCAGAAGATGAACTGAGAATGCGGCCCAAACGCAGAATCCTCAGGGCCCCCAAGTCCTGGTCATGAGAACTGAACTGGGTCCAGTTCCAGACCTGACTGCAAATTTGCCATCTTTCTGAATCAAGTAGTACAGTGGAGGGTAATGTCCAAGAAGAAAGGATTCTTTGTTAAAAGGTGTTTTTGAACAGTCTTTTATTTTTTAAAAAAAGATTTATTTATTTGACAGAGAGAGACACAGTGAGAGAAGGAACACAAGCAGGGGGAGTGGGAGAGGGAGAAGCAGGCTTCCCGCGTAGCAGGGAGCCTGATGTGGGGCTCGATCCCAAGACCCCGGGATCATGACCTGAGCCGAAGGCAGACACTCAACGACTGAGCCACCCAGGTGCCCCAAACAGTCTTTTCTTCTCATCTGGCATTTTATGAACCCACTTACGTTCCACTGGAGAAATATACATCATCATCATCAAGCATGTTTTATGAGTTTAATAAGAAATTGTCATTTGGAACCAATAAAAATCACAAAGTCTTGTACGACACTTATTACGTGCGTGCTTCCCGCATATCAGCCAAGCCCGCACTTCCCCCCACCCCCGAAAGTGAGTGTCCTACCCCTTTCACAGGTGAGGACGTAGAGGCACAGGAAATAGACTGAAGCAGCCCCACCTGATCTGTTTTTGTGCAATACTCTGGGCAGGTGCTAAAGTGCCTTAAGGGAAAGGTAACTTACTGGTGATTGCTGCGTCAGTCTGTCAGCCCCGCTGGTGCAAACCTGCACAACCGTCATCTACTCCGTCATTCACTTTGTATGATTTGTGAAGGCTAGCGAACACTGTGTTTATTACTGTACAGAAGAGCGATGCTTCATGTGCTGAAACACCCCGCTATCTGCCCAAGCATTTACATCTGTCAGCCAGGTGCACAAGAGGAGAAACTCCAAAGCTACTGTGTTTGCATTAATGTCCTAAGGCCTTTGACTAGTCCTCCTACCCTGCAGCAAAAATGTTCCTGCGCCCCTAATACCACTTGATAATATGTGTATTTAAAAATCAGAAACAACTGGGCACCTGGGTGGCTCGGATGGGCGACTGCCTTCGGCTCAGGTCATGATCCCAGGGTCCCGGGATCGAGTCCCGCATCGGGTTCCCTGCTCGGCGGGGAGCCTGCTTCTCCCTCTGACCCTCCCCCCTCATGTACTCTCTCTCATTCTCGCTCTCTCAAATAAATAAATAAATCTTTAAAAAATAAATAAATAAATAAAATAAATAAAAATCAGAAACAACTTAAAAGAGAGCTCTTTAACAAACTATGATGATTTCTTCTTGGATGTTATCCTTTAAAAGAGTAACACGTCATACAGTACCTATTTTCAATAAAGGACGTTTAAATTATTCATTGTTTACTCCCTATGAAATATTTTTATTATCTGCCTTCTATTTTCATTAGCTAAACATAGCTAACAAATTATGCTTGCATGATCTTTTATTTTAAGTAATATTTAATGCATACTAATTTCAAATTAATACTATCATTAATTTCTTAAAATTAAATTTTAATTCAAAAATTTCAAAAGAGTTGTTGCCAGTAACAGATATGCATATGTTCAAATTAATTAAAAATTAAAGTGTGGCTGATAATCAGATTTTTACTTAAAGTCTGAATTAATAAAATTAGTAAAAAGGGAAAAGCTTGTATAATACAAATGTTTTTATTAGTCCATGGGGGGGAATCATCTTTTTGTCTGTTAAGCTTAAAGGCAGACTAAAACAAAGGCATATTTGATAAGATGAAGTTTAACAAAGATTCTTTTAATATGTATATTGTCTTTGAACAGCAAACTTCACAGTAAACACAGTGAAGCACATTTTTTACAAATTACATTTCAACCTGTTTACAGCAGTTTATTCATAACAGTCAAAACTGGGAAGCAAACAAGATTTCCTCCAGTAGGTGATGGATGAATACAATGAAGCAATGAACTATCAAGCCATGAAGAGACATGGAAGAACCTTAAATGCACACTACTAAGTTAAAGAAGCCATGAGAAATGGCTACATTACTACAGGATCCCAATAATATAAAAGGCGAGACTATGGAGACAGGAGGAAGACCAGTGGTTTGCCAGGGTGGGGGAGAGGGGGGTGAAGAGGCGGAGCACAGAGGATTTTGAGGGCAGTGAAACTTCTCTGTACGATGATGTAATGATGAGTATGTATCGTTATATATTTGTCCAAACCCACAGACTATAAAATATCAAGAGCAAATCTGAAGGTCAACTGCGGACACTGAGTGATTATGACTGGTCAATATAGGTTCATCCTTGGTTTAAAAAAAAACAAACAAAAACAAAAGTATCGTTCTGGTGAGTGATGTTGATGATGAGGAAGGTGATGCATGTGTGGGAGCAGGGGTGTATGGGAAATGTCTGTACCTTCACCTCAATTTTGTTGTGAACCTAAAACTGTTCCAAAACAGTAAAGGTTATTTTAAAAACATTTAAACTCATTTTTAAGAATGGAAATAAAGACTTAAGTAGCACAGTTTCTAATGATCAGCAATATGCATATATGGATTGGGCTTCCAGCAAAGTTGTACGCATATTAGTTAAAAATATTTCTCAGTAAGTGTTTTTCTTTACTCCTGGCTATCGGCCACTTTCTTTTTAAAGGATTAGGTTGGAGACTGAACATAACACCTACATGCCTCTCCGATGATTATGACACTGTATACCTCTAATTCTTCAAATGATGTATAATAAATGTAATCAGGGAGTTAAGCAAAGAAAGGGTTGCGCAAATTTTTGAACATTTCATGTGTGTGCGTACGCGTGCACACACACTTAGAATTACAGAAGTAAAACTTCTGAACTGAATGAACCATAGAGATCATCTAGTATAGTTCCCTTATTAGAATACAAATAAAACGATTTTTCTGGGGCACCTAGTGGCTCGGTCAGTTAAGCATCTGACTCTTGATTTCAGCTCAGGTCATCTCAGGGTTGTGAGATTGAGCCCCACATTGGGCTCTGTGCTGGGCATGGAGACTGATTAAGATTCTCTCCCTCCCTCTGCACTTCCCCCAACCCTCTCTCTCTCCCCCTTCCTCTCTTAAAAATAAAAAAAAAAAGATTTTTCCCAGGCAATACAGGATGGTTTAAAATCTGCAATATTTTATCAAACAATATGCTAGTGATGAAGCAGAATTTATGAATTCAAATGACAGACATTCACTCACTTAGGAGCATTTACAGAAAGTAAGAGCTTATTATCTTGTTAGAGGAGATAAAACATGCACAAATAACTGTGATAAAAAGTATTAAATGGAGACAGTCTAAGATGGTGGCATAAGATCCTGAATTTATCTCCTCCCGTGGACATACGAAACCTGCATGTACCTATAGAATAATTCCTCCTGAAGAAGAGCTGGAAACTGACTGAAAGGCTCTGCACAACAAATAAACTATAAAGAGACCATACAGAAAAGGGAAGAAGAGTTGGGAGAAAAGGTAATGACAGGAACATCATTCCCAATGTGAAGACCTGCAGTAGGGAGGGAATATCACTGAGGGGCCTTTCTCAGACTTGCCCACCCTGGGATACAGCAAGAAAACAGTGGTTTAAAGGGCAACTGGATAAAGAGGGGAGGAAGACATTATCAACAAAATAAAGGTCATATATGGCAGACCCACAGCTAATATCATACTCAATGGTGAAAAGCTGAAAGCTTTTCCTCTAAGATCAGAAACAAAACAAGGAAGTCCACTCTTGCCACTTCTATGCAACACAGTACTAGAAGTCCTAGCCACAGCCATTAGGCATGAAAAAGAAATAAAAGGTATCCAAATTGGAACAGAAGACATGAAACTGTCACTATTTACAGACAACATGATTTATATAAAAACCCTAAAGACGCCACCCAAAACCTGTTAGAACTATAAATGAGTTAAGTAAAGTCACAGGATACAAAACTAACACCCAGAAATTTGTTGCATTTTTATAGTTAATAATAAATTGTAAGAGAAATTAATCCCACTTACAGTCATATATAAAAGAATAAAATACCTAGGAATAAATTTAACCAAGAAAGTAAAAGACCTGTACTCTGAAAACTGTAAGACATGATGAGAGAAACTAGTGATAACACAAATAAATGAAAGATACACCATGCTCATGGATTAGAAGGATATTGTTACAAATGTTCATACTACCCAAAGTCATGTACAGATTCAATGCAATCCCTATCAAAATATGACAGTATTTTTTCACAGAACTAGAACAAATAATTCTAGAATTCGTAGAGAACCACCAAAGACCCTAAATAGCTAAAGCAATCTTGAGAAAAAAGAACAGAGCTGGAAGTATCACAATACCACACCTCAAGATATAATACAAAGCTGTAGTAATCAAAACAGTACGGTACACATTTGGTACACAAATATAAATAAAGAGCCCAGAAATAAACACATGCTTCCATAGTCAATTAATGGATGAAGGAGACAAGAATACACAATGGGGAAAAGATCTCCTTAAGAAGCAGTGCTGGGAAAACTGGGCAGCTACCTGCAAAAGAATGAAACTGGACCACCTCCTAACATCATATGTGAAAATAAATTCATAATGGATTCAGATTTGAATGTAAGATCTAAAACCACAA